GTTCCAGATCCCGTTCCAACCGGTACGGTTGGAATGGCCTGGCGTCACCCACATAGACCAGTGCGGCATGCGTGCACACGTGCGCATGCGTCGTACCTACCTGCGATGCTTCCGCAAGACTCTGCGACGGTCCAGCTGCTCGGCGGAGCGTCTCGTAGGCGCTGCATGCATCGTGCGCATGCGTGGAAGCGGCAAAAGCTTAAAGCACAGGTAAGGAGCAATGACAGGCAGGTGGGCCCTCTGGAGCACTGTACTGGAATGGTATCCGGTGCTCTGGGCATGCTCCGGTACGCCTGTACCGGGGCGTACCTCCTGCAACCCACCACTGCCTACCACTGAAGAGTGGATTATTTGAAACTTTTTTTAGATAAACCCCCTCCCTATATCTAACACAGTTCATGTCGGTTGCACCAAGCCATCCTATGTCTGAATTTTGCTCTGTTTCAGCAAATTAATTTATGCCAAGAAATATTTCTTTTTTAAAAAAAAAAAAATCATTTTTGAGGGTATTAGCAACATACTCTCACATTTCTAAATACATCTGCTAGACTCCAAACTGTAAGGATAACTATTAAGCCCTTTCTGTGTAGGAATGAGCTGTCATCCTACTGCAGATAAGTTCTCTGGATGTGAAATTAAATGCCCACTAAATATTCTCATGGGTCTTTGCCATGCCCTAGCATTTAACTTTTATATACTGTTGTTGCTCTCCAGCCCCCTCTAGTGTCCAGAGGGACAAATATGACCCAACCTACAATCTTTATATGCTGTTGTTGCTCTCTAGCCCCATCTAGTGGCTAGAGAGACAAATACCCAGTATGTTATTTGAAACTGCCCCCACCCTTTTATCCATCAGCCCGCACTTTCAAAACAAGAATCCATTTCTTTTAGCATTTGGAGAAGGCAGAAGCATCCATCTTAATCTGTGGCTCATAGTTATCCAAGGACAAACCTACATCCCTCACACAGAGCATCACTGGTGATATTTAAATTGTTTGTATTTATTCATTGTTATGTTCAGCAGTAACTTAATACTGCCTATCTTGTATTTGATTCTCACTGTATGTATCCCTATTTTCCCCCGTTTCACCATATCCTGTTCTTTCAATAAAGCATTCAGATCTATGCACACGGTCTGTTTTATTTGGTGGGCTTGGCTGCATGTCGAGCTGCACACAGACTAAAGGATAGTGAGGACAGAACAGTTGTCCTTCATTCTGAAGCATAATTTCAGTAAAATAACTTATTTTGTGCAAAAACCAAAAAGTACACAAATCATACCGCACATTTTTAGAAGAAGCTCACATCAAACCAATACATTTTTTTTCATTAAAAATGGTAACTTATCTTGACCAACCTCAACTGGGAATCTCCTCCCATTGATGCTATGCTCTGAGCCAGCAGATCCATTACTCTGGCCCCAGTGAAATTCAACTTTTTCTGCTTTGAATCTTCCTGGTAGTCCAGCACCACTGATGAAATAATCATCCTTTAGAAGGATGGCAACTGGAAAGAGAAGAAATAAATTTTAAAAAGGAACAAGATTGATTTTTTCCCCGTAGATATCGGACACACATTTGTTATCGTTTCACAAACCACCCCCCCCCCCATATTTGATTTATTTGATTTATATAACATATAAAAATTCAATTTCCATCAAACAGAGTGTTGTCTGGTTACAATTGTTTTTAGGCAATCATAATGAAAATGTTTACAATAATATTCATCGCAACAACATTAGTACTATAGTAACAATAATATTTAACTTATCTACTTTAACAAATCTCCGTTTTAACATTTATCCTTTTTATGTCCCCACATTTCTAACTTCTGTTTCTATTGTCTAATCATTGGTAAAATAGATCCCATGTCAAAAAATATTCAGTTTCTTCTTTGTCCTTAATAGTAAGCATTAGTCTATCCATTTCCAGCCATGCCCACCCTGATGCGGCCCTCAATAGAACTGAGTTTGACAGCCCTGCCATAGAGGCACTTTAACTTCTCCCATCTGCCTATCTTTCCCCTTCCCATCAAAGTCATCCAACAGGCAGATGCCATGGCCCACTTCCTGACTCATCCCCTTAATTCAACCAGATCTTCTCAGACCTTTAGATTTCTCAATATGTATTAAACAAATGTAGAGGACTGAGAGGTTTCTCTGGTAGAGAACTCTACAAAGAAAACAATCTGACACAGCAAATAGGGCTCTCACAGGATCTTTTACACACTTACTCCAGCAGATAATTTTCAGGCCTTTCTGCAGAATTACAAAGTGAAGAAAACAAGGTTGCACTCCAGCACCTTGTTATATATGAGACTCCCACTGAAATTACACTGCTATGCACAGTTTGCCATCTTGACTTGGGAATTAATTAAGCCAGAAAGTTAATCTGCCTAAGAAGCAAGTGGGAGAAATCTTGTTACTACAGATCCTTGTATCACACCTATGCACTAATTTGTGTGTGCATGCATCCTAATGAATGATGCAAGGAAGAATTCTACAGTATGGTGTATATACAGTGGATTTCTATACTGTGCTTCAATAAAATCAGATACAGGTGGCTAAAAATTTCTGAACGATACATACACAAATAATTAGATAAATTTCTGAATGATACATACATGAATAATTAGATAAGACTGAATGGAAGAAACAAAAAAAAATGAGTTAAAAATAGATTCAGAAGGTAGCTAAATGGATAAGTGAGCTATGGTGGTGCGGTGGTTAGAATGCAGTATTGCAGGCTAATTCTGTTCACAGCCTGGAGTTTGATCCTGATGGAGTTCAAGGTTGACTTGGCCTTCTAGCCTTCTGTGGTTGGTAAAATGGGGACCCATATTGTTGGGGGCAATATGCTGACTCTGTAAATTGCTTATGAGAGTGTTGTAAAGCATTATGAAGTGGTATATAACTCTAAGTGCTATTACTATCACTACGTGTGGACCAAGACTATTCATAAATGTTCTGAATTCTTTATTTCATCTCTGGAAGTATTCTTATTACAAAGAAAGATGAACATAGGATATATCTCCCTACATAGCACTTAAGAATCTTAGATACTAATACTATTAGAACAAAAATAGCAGTGGTGGGTTGCAGGTGGTACGCCCCGGTACTGGTGTACCAGAGCCTGCCTGGAGCACCGGATACCGTTCCAGTACAGTGCTCCAGAGGGCCCACCTGCCCGCCCGAGTTCCTTACCCATTTTTTAAGTTCTTCGGCGCTTCCGCGCACATACATGGGGTGTACAGCACCTGCACGATGCTCCGTTGAGTAGCTAGAGCATCATGGAGGCTCGCGGAGACGCCAAGGTACATGCGTACGCTGCGTGCAGCCATGTGAACACCACCAGGCCCGTTCCAACCATACTGGTTGGAATGGGATCCGGAACCCACCACTGAAAAGTACCAAAAGATATGGGAATTATAGCTTTTGCTGGTCAACTTGCTATCAATTGTACAATCTAAATAATCTATATAGCAACCTGATTGATTGATTCATGGTACCTTCAAGTCAATTTTGAGACCTGGCAACTTCCTAGCAAGAAGTGCTTTGCCATTTCCTTCTCCCTAGGGCTGAGGGAAAGTGACTGTCACAAAGTCTTCCAGCTGGCTTTGTGCCAAGGTGAGAATAGAATTCATGGCCTCCAAGTTTCTAGACCAGTGTGCTAACGTACACCAAACTTGCTCTCTCTCAGCAGTTAGGTACACATTTGCATGTACCAACAGCACCTACAATTAATCCATTAAGAAAACAAATAAATAATGTGACTCAGTCCCCTTGGTGATTTCCAGGATTGTTTCCTTACTAGCAATTTTTCTAGATCCAAGCCACTGTTTTGTCTAGATCTTTGTCTTAGATTCTAGATCTAAGACAAAGACAAAGCACAACAAAGAACAACAGTTGGTTCTGAGCTGTTCTATAACACCTTCTGTACAAAAATGTTTTCATAACAAATCAAGGGGTTTCTGAATGTGAAGCACTCGCAGGAATAACATATTGACACAAGTCCACAAATAACAAAATCTCATATATAATTATTGCATAGGCTGTAATGCCATTTGGCTTATCTGAATTCAGTTTGGTTTCTTAAGAATAACATTAAGAGCAGTTTTGTTATTTCACTAATGAAAAAATAACTAGGCATTCCATTATAAATTAAATGCATTAAAAATATGGTGTGGAAATGGAGCCGGTCATGATTTATGCAGCATTTTTTGCAGATTTCTTATGTCAGAATAAAAACATGTAGTAAAATGGAGGGAAACCTGTACATGGATGAGGGGGAAAGAAGCCAATTAAAGAGGGTTTTTTTCCCCTTTCTTTTTAAAGGTGACATGTACTAGGAAGCAAAAAGAGACTTAAAAGGGGGTCCCCCCCCTCTTCTTTTTAATGTGACAAACTAATGGACAGTCCCACACGAATATAGGCTTCTCTGAATCTGTTACAATGCACAGCGGGATTCAGCTGCATTATATAAATATTTGATGATCGCTAAATCATTTATGGCTCTGTCAGGGGTCATTTTACTTGTTTTAGATTAATAATTAAAAGGATAATTAGGAGAATGTATAATCTGAAATGTTCATCTAATTGTTCATTTTATAGTTATCTCTTACTGGGTTTTACAGAATCTCTCTCTCTCTCTCTCTCTCTCTCTCTCTCTCTCTCTCTCTCTCTCTCTCTCTTCCCTCCTCTGGATTCAATGGGGTTTAGGAAATCCC